TACCTTAACGTCTGTGACACATTCATCCTCCAAGCCCCGGACGGTGCCAGGCGACAGAAGGGGCCCCAGCTCCCCGTTCTCCAGGGCGACCATGTCCACCAGCCCCAAGACTTCTCTGAGGAGGGGAGAGTAAGAGACCGGTGGGGGGGTCTGTGAGGGGAGGCAGAGCAGCTAACCCTGTCTCCTCCCCATCCCTTCACACCCAGTGTGTGACCCTAGGCCCTCCCCTCCTCGCTTGGGGCCAGCTTTGCTCATCCCTCAGAGGAAGTCTCTGCTACGTGGCTCCCCTGGGCCCAGCTCTCTGAGTCAGCTCCCTGATGGATGGTGTCCGGGCAAGAGTCAAGTCCAAGCTTGACTACCTGGCACGCAGGGTCTCATGATGGTCACTTCACCAGACGGAAGCTCCCTTTTCCCCGCTCCTACTCCTTCACGGCCTCTCCAGTCCAGCCCTCGCTCCAGGCCTGTGCAATCCCACCCCTCTGCCCACTGCCCCCCCACCCCCGCCCGCATTCACCAGGCTTTTGCTCAAGGCATCTTCTCAGCCAGAAGCACCATCTCCCTACAGATGGGACTTAACTCGGGTCTCACCATTCTAGGAAGCTTTCCAGACCCTCTCCTGCCTCCATCTTTCATGGATGGTGTGAGAGTGTCATTAGCACACACTCCCAAGGCGGCCCAGGGGTCCACATGAGCAGCTCTTGCCTCCCATTCTTCTAGGGACGGCACCCTGATTTTGCTGGAGGAAGCACCCAGCCCTTCACGCTCGCCTGTGGTTTGGCTGTGGCCAACTCCCTTCTTCCCGGAGTGGGGAGGTGACCCAGGCACGGCTAACGGCCGTATTCCACCCCCCAGCCGCCAGAATGGCTGTGCTTCAGATGCACAGGCTTGATAGGTATACGATTCTAGGACCAGGAGGGCCAATGGTTCTACATTCTAGATCAGCGGTTCTCAACCTGTGGGTCGCGACCCCTTTGGGGGTCGAACGACCTTTTCACAGGGGTCGCCTAAGACCATCGGAAAACACATATATAATTACATACTGTTTTTGTGATTAATCACTATGCTTTCATTATGTTCAATTTGTAACAATGAAAATACATCCTGCGTATCAGATATTTACATTACGATTCATAACAGCAGCAAAATTACAGTTATGAAGCAGCAACGAAAATAATTTTATGGTTGGGGGTCACCACAACATGAGGAACTGTATTAAAGGGTCGCGGCATTGGGAAGGTTGAGAACCACTGCTCTAGATGCTAAAGTTACAGAACTCAGGGGCCAACAGCGCCGCAGTCCTCAGACTGAGGGCTCAACGGGCTGGTGATTCTCGGATCAAAGAGGGGAGGAGGCTAAGGTGAAGGGTTCCAAGGCTTCACTGATACTAAGACTCCAGGTTCGAAGCCTCATCAATCCCAACGTTCTAAGGTTGGAAGAGCCAACGGTGCTAAAGCCCTGGGAGCCAACCGGGTTCTAGAATTCAAAGGGTCAACAGAGCCAAGACTTGAAGACAAGAGGGGCCTGCGGAGCTCTGGTTCCGGGGCGGGAAGGGCCCACGTGCTGAGGTTCTAGAATCGGGAGGATCGCCGTTCTAACGCTCCAGCCCCGGAGGAGCAGACGCGCTGAGATTCTAGGTTGTAAATGTCACCAGGGACGGAGCCTGGAGGCGCCCAGGGGGTTAGGTTGCAGAATGGAAGGGTCGGCTGTACTAGGTTCTCGGGAACAAAA